TATCTAAGTAATACCACCAATAGACAGTCAGAAGTCTCTATATATGGACAATTCAGATTTTTTAGCAATATTACTACCAGAGGATAGAGAGGAGGTGATTCCAAAAACAAAAAAATGTTTTTTGCGCAAGATCTGAAATTAATTATTAAAATCTTAATTCCTACCTTGAACATAAAGAATTCGCTAAAAATGCTATAAAACTTCTTCATACCTTTAAGAATACTACCTTATGGAATCTGATCAAAATAATAGACCAACATTCTCAATGTTCACAAATAGTTAAAGATCTGATTATTGACTTTTGCAATTTTAAACTAAATAGTAATTTTTTTTTCACAAAAAACGTTTTTGTACTATACAGTTCAAGCACCCTTATTACGATCAACTATAAATACCAAGCATTTTTAAAAAATATCAACACTTGCTTCCTGACCCAAAACTTCAAATTAAGCTCTGTTTTAAATTTGGAAAGACCTTAGGTCAACTAGTTATCAACCACTACGTTGTACAAGAAAATAGCATATGTAATTGCCTACTGCCTATTTACAATAAAAATGTTGATTCTTTCGACCAACATGTTATTACTGGAGATCTCAATATCATTGAAGACTTAGAATTGCGAGCCCTTATGCAACTTGGCACCAAATTTCATCCTACTTTCAGTATTAATAAGCACTTTTGCCTCAAACAATTCAATAATGATCTTGATAAATTTATCATATTAGTTAGTAATAAATCCAATTTACCTACTACTACTTTTGTTGAATGGAAAGCTGCACTAATTAAAGAATTTCAACATTTGCTTTTCAAGCCACCTTATTTCAACTCTTTGCAAAGTAAAAAGCAACTAGAGAATCTTATTCAAAAACTGCAAGATAACTTTATCATCACGAAGATTGACAAAGCCAGCAACAATTTTAGTGTTATTTCAAAAACGTTTTACTTCAACTTTCTGCATATTGAATTAACACATGCACATACCAAAAAATTACTACCAGCACTAAAATTCTTCTTAATAAATTTAACGCACTGCATAAAAGACTTAAAATACATCCGCGGAAATATAATAACAGATTTTCCAATCTCTATGCACTACCAAAATTTCATAATTCTCCGATTAAGTTCAAGTTTATAGCCAATAGTACATAAAGTTATTTTAAAGAAATAGATTATCTTTTTGCACAAAAACTTCGCCTAATATGTGACCTAATTAATAACTATGATTTTAAGGATCTACATTGCAACTCGATGATTTCCAGTAACGAATTAGTTCTAAAAACTATAAATTCACTTAAAATAGACCATATCCAATGCTACGACTTTAAAAACCTCTATACTACTTTACCACTTGAAGAAATATATACATGCTTACTTGCTCTACCGGATTTATTTCCGCAAATTTCTACAATAATAAGTACCGAAAATTGGGAACTTTTTCTCTCATGCGGGCTTTTCAATAATTTTATTCAATTTAACAATAGCATCTTTAAACAAATACAAGGAATTCCGATGGGAGGTAATTTTTCAAGTTCTGTCTGGGGATTATTCCTTTTTACAAAAGAATTGACCTTTGTCCGTTCACTCAATAAAGAAAAACATAAATTTTGCCAACACATCTATAGATATATTGATTATGTCATTGCCTTTAACAACTACAACAAAATAGAAGTTGCTAATATCTACCCTACTTGCTTAAAACTAAATTATACAAATGCAGTGCAACATAATGTAGTCTACCTTGACTTACATATTATTGATTACAATTTTATAAAAGTTTACGACAAAAGAAGAGAATTCAATTTCTCAACACACAAAATTAACCAACTGGAATTCAAATATTTTCAAAAGAGTCATTCTAAACGCGATTTATTCACAGCTATTTAGGATAGAAAGAATCTGCAATACAACAACACACCTTCAAGAAGAAATACTATAGTTCGTGACAATTTTGAAAAATAACCTAATTCCTCAAAAAATTATTAAAAATACCTTAAAAAATAGCTGGCATTAGCCTTACCAATTTTTAGATTTTTTTAGTTAGATAGGGGAATTTTATACTTAAAGCCCAATGGGACAGTATAAAGTGGATGGCTGATTCTGAGAATCTAATGTAAAAATGTACAAATAATTCTGGTCACTACGTGTTCTTTACTCCAAAACATTTTGGCACAATACTTTTAATACTATTGTTTAAATAGTTTTAAATTACTTTGATGGCCAATTCCACTACTTTTGTTAACAAATCGGGCCTTTTGGTTTTTCATTGTAGCTTGATCGCCCTCTAGCTTGAAGAATTACGACTTTTATTAACAAATTACTGTTTTTTCCATTTTACTCTTACTTTTGCGGCCATGTTAGGTAACTTAGGCTGATTTAGCCATTTTCTCTTTTACAAACAGTTTTATTCTTCAAACAACTTGACTGACGCCATTTTCAAATCTTTCCACGTCTTTTCGAGTCTTTCACCCCCTTTTTTAGCTCTAGGGGACGAGTTGATGCCAACGGACAGTCTTATCACATTGGCTGTTGCCCAGTGACATTGTTTCTCACGCCTTACGTCACACGACGAGTGGTATAGCGTTGAAGGACACAGAAGGGAATTACAACCAATTTTTCAGCTTTGCTTCACGATGAGAGAACTGCATAGCCACAGGTCTGTTTTTTATGTTTCTTTTGCAAAAAATTTCTTGGTCTAAGCAATACCCACTGTGTTTTTTTTCATTTAAATTTAATTTCAGATTTCTAAAATTTATAAAGGTTTATTCGGGAATGGCTTTAAGCTTGCAGGTCCAGCCCGTACGTTATTGTATAGTTTGACTAATAGCAGACCGCTACATATTATTATTTTATGTTATTTTTATTATTGCTGTACATCGGAGTTGCATTTACATTTTTTACACCTTACTGTGTCATTTTGTGCGGACGCATCGGGAAATTGGAACAGAGAATTGAGACTAAAAAAATTTTCTTAGGACAATTCATCTAATTATAAAAAATTTTCGTAACAGAAAAGTTTCAATTGTCTGTTTCGGCGAAACGCGTAATGGAGTTAGCATGGCTCGACGTTTAACTAGAAATTTCCCTTGAAAAGCCAGGTTATGCGTCGAACTGAGCTAATTTTTCATTTTTCGCTTTATAATTTTTTATAATTTTTATGTTTTCATATGTTTTTATTTTTTTATAAGTTTTAACTTGTTCCATGGATCGGTTTTTTATATGTTTTAACTTTTCACTTATCACATCGATGGGTATTTTGTTGTGTTTTATATTGTACATTTTATTTCGCTTGTAGTCTAATTTTTAACCTTTCAATGTCATTGTTTTTTTTTCAAATACTGTGTTGAACTTTTTCTTGGAGCCACAGCTCCTGGTAACTTTCTGGCGAGCTATCTACAATTTATCTTCTTTCCATATATATATATATATATAAGATATATAAGTATATATATATACATATATATATATATATATATCACGATTATTTTATATTATTTATATATATATATATATATGAATGCTGCTCAAACGGTATAATGGTTAGGAGATCCAACTGCAAAACCAAAAGGCACGGGTTCGAATTCTGTAGAAATTCTGTAATGGATGCAAATTGTCTGTCTCCTCATAAGCGGTAGCAGTTGCCGCCTATTAGGTGCCTCCAGATTAAAATGACCACCAGTTTGTGTCTTGTTAGTTGCAAAAACCTAAAAATGGCTAGTGACCGCCTTGAACGTTTGGTACTGCGGATTACAAGACAAACAGGAGGTGCACAGTTAGATGTTATAACAGTTCCACATACAAAACTTCAAAGTATTACGGCTAATTGTTTTTGAATTATGCTGTATATATACATATATATATATACCTACGTATATAACGTTCAGACGTCATGAAAAGTCCCTTTTAAATCCTTTTTTTACAATTCATTAGGGAAAACAGAGCCCTTTGTTCTGCTGCTATGTGCAGTTGTTAAGTTAAAAAATAATCCAGAAGAATTCGGGAATGGTCAAAACGGATATTTCCGTTGAAATAAACTCTTTTGCAAAAAAATCGAAACATCATGAAGGAAGTGGTTGTTTTTGATGACATTGAATATGTGTATAGCTCATACACAGTTAATAAAATGATTAAAAAATCAAGGTCATAGTACCTGTTCGCGGCTCACAATCACCCATTGAGTTTTCAAATTAGTAGTTTGTCGAACCGCCCCTGGCGGCAATGCATGCTTGAATTCGTCGAGGCAAGGAGTGGTAGAGGTTGCTAATATCAACCAGCGAACACATTCTGCCAGGCATTCATAAGTTGTCGCTCCAGATCTGCTATATTTTGTGGTGCCCGAATTTGGCGGTCTACCGTGTCCCAGACATGTTCGATTGGAGAAAGGTCTGTTGACCTTGCTGGTCAAGGAATACTATCAACCTCACGGAGACAGTCCAGAGATATGCGAGCAGTATGTGGTCTGGCATTATCTTGTTGGAAAATGACCCCAGGATTACGTGACATGAAGGGTAATGCAACCGGTCGCGGGATGCTATCAATATATCGTTGAGCTATTAAAGTTGTACGGAGAATGACTAAAGATGACCTGATGTCATAAGAAGAAGCGCCCCACACCATCACACTACGAGTTATGGCTGTGTTGTATGTCTCAATAGAATTCTAAAAGGTAAAAAAGATCTCTTACCTTTTCTTTCACCCGGGAGCCGAGCTTGTTCCATTCCAAATTCTTATTCGATGAAATATCTAAATAATTCCAAGCTTTTGCATAAAGATTGACACTTCTGTATAAATAAAGATATTATATTTAGATACATTTATACATTTTATATACAATTATTAGGTTACATAAAATTACGCGCTCTCCTTCTAACAGTCATTCGAGTTCGGGTTCAGAGTTCTAACTACGTTCTTACGTAGGATTATTCTCGAGTTTAGATGTAATGGTGCTGATAGTTCGGAGTTTAGATGTGGTGGCGCTGATAGTTCGGAGTTTAGATGTAACATCACCTCCCACCATTGAGATCCGACGATGCGGAGGAACTCAATACACACAGGCCCAGTCGATGAGGAGGCCGAACAACTCGTCCAGCTCTGGTAATCACTCGAGGACTTGAAGCAGGTTCTGGAACACTAGCAGCCTGATCAACCTGACCAGTTGCAGGGTTGTTACTATCTCGGGGTGCTCTGTCAGGGAACGGAGGGCCAACAGATTCGGAAGTAGAGATCTTCAACGGGAAAAGCCGGGGCACTGGACGAAGCAGAGTTCCATTTCTTGTCTTGACCCTCGCTAGTCTAACTATCCCGTCTTTACTGGGGAAAAGCTCGACTATCTTGGCTAAAGGCCAATGTATGCGTCGTCTCTGGCTGTCTTCCAACAGAACGACATCGCCTACTTGCAACTGTTGAAATTTTCCCTTCTTTATTGCCTGTTGTCTCAACTGACCAAGATATTCATTACGAAATCTGTTTCGTAGATCATGTCTTATTCTCTGTCGGTATTTGGCTCGGCGATTTAGTTCATTGGAATCTACGTAGTCCATATCAGGAACTCCCGATGACGGCAATTCTTGGAGGAACATCATAGGGTTCAGCGGTGATGGATCTCGATTATCCTCTGATACGTATGTGATAGGTCGCGAATTAATCACTTGTTCACAGTCACATAATATAGTACATAATTCTTCATAATTTAAGGACGTTCGACCTAATACTCTTCTTAAATTTTCTTTCACCATTCGCACAAGCCTCTCCCACCAACCTCCTTACCAGGCGGCGGTCGGAGGGTTGAACTTCCATCGTATCCTTTGGATAGAAGCAGCTGAACATATGGCGTTCCAATCAACTTTCTTAAGAACACTGTTAGTCCCTACAAAATTAGGTCTACCTCATCTGGCAATGAATCTACGTAAAGATTGGATGAAAGTTTCCGTAGATAGAGAAGTAACTAGTTCGAAGTGAATGGCTCTATAAATGGCACACGTATACAAGACTATCCACGCTTTAGACCCCTCACGGAGATAGAGGGGACCTGCTAGATCTACACCGACGACTTCAAAATTCGCCCCTTCTCTGACTCAGTCTTCAGGTGGAAATCCTGGCTCGACTTCCACTCTTTGTGTAACAAATCTTTTATATCTTACACATTTTCTGATAATATTTCGAATACTTTTCCTGGATTTTAATATCCAAAAGTTTTCTCTAAGATTTATTATTAAAGTGCTGACACCAGCATGCTGGAGTTCTAGATGTTTCTCGTAAATTAGTCTCTCAACAAGAATATGTTTTGAAGGTAAAATGATAGGATATCGGAAATTTTCATTATCTTGACACTGTAGGACGTTCGTTTTGGCTCTGAAAATTCCATTTCGGTCTACGATTGGTCTCAGCGCACGAATAGCGGGATCTTTTATGCCTTGTAAATGATTCTTTCTGTACCAATCTACAAAGTGCCTTTTCAGCCATTCTCCAATTCATCAACTGAGACATCAGGGGTTAGGTTTTATCTTCGTTCTTTAAATTGTGATAAACCTGAAAATCCAAGCGATCATTCTCACGGTTTTTCTATATGAAGATAGAAGTATTTGTAGTACCAGTCCAAATGTCTTCATGATCTAGAAGAGTCAGAATCGTTTTCCTTT